TTTTTTTAATTTTTTATGTGATACTCGATAAAGCTCGTCAAGCTCTCGAGTATCAAATTTCTGAGCTCGAGCTCGACTCGATAGCTCTAACGAGTAGCTCGAGATCGAGCTCGAGCTCGATGAAGCGAGTTCGAGCTCGAGCTTCTGATCGAGTACATATCGAGCTCGAGTCGAGTAGCTTGAATCAGCTCCACCCCTAACTGTGTTGAGTCGTTCACATATTGATCAGTGTTGATTGTTCAAAGTAATATTTAACAATTCATCCTTTCTTTCTTCTTGTAATCCTCACCTTTAAAGGTTTGCGGAGTTGAAGACGATGACGTACTAATTAATCAACTGCAAAGCCCAAAGACGTGTCTCTCTTGACTGACTGACTTGGTTTACATTTTCTTCGTTTATTACATTAATGACACGACCTATGTTTATTGAAGAAAGAGGAAGGTAAGTGCAAGAAGAGACATAATTTCATTTTCTATGTGAAGGATAACATATTTCACTTAAACAAATATTTTGCAAAAGTTCAAAGGATTTGACTAACGGTTACATACTCTCGTTATAAGTGTTTATATTTTTACAAGACTATAATTAATTCGGGAAAGCCTCGAAATGCTAGGATTGTAGTAACGGTAAATATATGTATTCATATAACAAGTTATGTGTAATTTAAATATACTAACGAGTTAGTACTAGGCACCCATTAGAAAATCAAAGTTCAAATAACAGAAAATAATTTGTTTTTTCATTATCGAATCAAATAAGGATTTAGCCTAACATTTAGGACAAATAGTGGATAACATTTAGGACAAACCACAATAACAAAAAAGAAATTTTATCTAATGATACAATATTTTATATTCATTCTCAAGTTAAATAGAGATTTAGCATGAAGAAATTACTGAAGTAAAGAATTGATTTTAAAAGGTAGGATATGGGGTGAAGCTGATTGGTTAAAAAATCAAGCTTTACTTTTGCTTATGGTGTTAGTTACTAACTACTAGGATTAGATTCCGGAGGTTGAATTTGATAAAGTTTTTGTGCTTACGCCCTATTTGATAACCCAATTCTACATTTAAATTTAATAGATTCAGATTTTAACATATTTAGATGCACTTAATAACTAAAAATTGAACATTTGAATTAATTAATATTAAACAAAACTTGCTTCCAAAAATAAATGATAAACCATTTGCTTATCACTTATTATGATATATATTGAAATGTATCAAATTAGTACTTAATAATTCAATAACTTAATGGATTCAAACTTTAGTTCTCAATATTTAGTTTTCAGCCTTCAGTTTTATCAAACACACTCTTAGAATCTGATCAATTAGAAGTGCCATGCTTTTCTAAGATAATTGCCCATTAAAACTGCTAATTTACTGGTTTCCCTAGTTAGGCACATAATGAAATTGAAAATGGCAGAAGAAAAATTTTGAAGTACCATAGTGCAACTACTAGCATGGCTATCAATAATCTCCATGTAATTAGTTGAAACATAAGAAAAAATACAGAGAAGATAGCACTTATGAAAAATTTTAATAACCAGGAAAAAAAATTCATTTTTCTTTTTTGTCAATTTAATAATGGTTTGACCGGTTCAAGATTTTCGCTTATTTGCTAAATTAATCGCTCTGAACTAACAACCAGAGAGTAAATTGACTCTTTCAGGTACCAATGGTTGCTTGATTTAGAAATCAATACTAAATATAATTCTCTTTCTTGCTTCTTTTGGCTTTTGATATCTAAAAAATGAAAACCTAGAGAGCTGAAATTGATATTGTCTGCTAAAACCGAAGTGATTGGTTGTATTTATTAGCACTAGGAATGGCATTTCTTCTCAAAATTGATACCTTTTTGTTTAACGTTTGTTACCTACATTATTCATTGGATGTCATTTGCGGACATGATTTCGAAAAGTCCAATTTAAACTGCATTATTGACTCAATCGAATATTAGAATAGGCAAGGAGCCCCGCACCTAAAATACAGTGGGAAGACTTCAGCCTTTTAGCTTTTCAGTCTTCCATCTCAACCTTTTCCATCAATTTGACCAAGATGTCATTAGTCTTCTCAACGTCCTTTCCTATCAATTCTTATTTCTTAGTCCTCCTTGTGAACAACTACCAATTCCATGTGTTTAGTCAACTTAGCTTAATAATAATAAAGATTAAAAAACACCGCTTTAACTATGAATCTGTCTAGGTCGATGTCTCTCTCTTCTTGGGAGTTCATATTTTCTCTCTATTGGGAAGTGTGCAAATCTCCTTCATTGGGAGGTTGGCATAACTCCCTGTCTGAACTTAGTAGAACAATAGGGCACTAAATTTACCATCTGGAAGACAACAAAATTTCATTGTTTCAGCTTTCAAGTGAATCCAAAAGACCCAATGTCAGCATTAAAGAACTCCCGACAAGATCTCATCTTTAGTTCTCATTGGTGCAAATAAAGGAACAGCAGTACCAGGATCCACATTTTACTCTGTCGGGTCTCAAGCGTCGACAGACAACCTTAAAGCTTTTACCAAGAGGATCTTGCCGACTCCTGTAAGTACTCTGGCGGGGTAGTAGCAAGCATCTTTTTGTCGCTTTTCATCCGTTTGTTTTTATTCACAGGAAAAAAAAAACAAAAAAAAAAGTATTTATCAAAAAAGGTGAAAACTTTGAAAATGGTCTGCGTTTAAAGTGAAGGCAGCTTTACTTTTTGCATTGGACAAACACTCAGTTTTTAACAATGTGGCTTTTCTATGTTTTTATATGGTGTTTGTAAGTTAGTTACTTTGGCTTTATTCACCTGAGGGGTTCATTACCTTTAGTGCGCACCTCATTCTCTGCTCGGAAGAGTTTAGAAGGTCACCCCTGTTTTCGCTTCCTTAAACCCTGGTCCTTTACCCTGTTCTGCGCTCTTTTGTGATATTCCCTTATAGAACCCCAGTAGGTTTCGATGGCAGAGGAAATAACTGAGATATTGCAAAAGTTTGCTTTATCTACAAAAGAACTGGGTGGTTCAGAACTAGAATTGGGGAATGTCAGTCCCAGTGTTAAGGAATGTGAGGAAAGCCTGGTGGGGAAGATAAAAGGTGAAAAGGTAATCAACTTTGTGGGAGTTAAAAATTTTGTAACTCTGGCTTGGGGTTATCCCAAAGGCCTAAGGGTGGTGGAGGTAGGAGTCAATACCTTTCAGCTTTTCATGGCCAATGTGAAGGATAGGGAACGGATTTGTACAGGGGGTCCGTGGGTTATTGATAGCCAGATACTCGTAATCAGACCGTGGTTTGAAGGATTTGAAGAGAAGGAAGTGGAATTTAATATAGCCCCATTATGGATTCAAGTTTGGAACCTCCCAGTGCACTGGATATCAAAGGAGGTGGGAAAGAAAATAGCTTCAGTTTTCCATGATACAAAAGAAGTGATCATACCCCAAGGAGGGGGTAAAGAAGGTAGACACATTAAAATTCTGGTTTTGGCAGATATCTCTGAACCTCTCATGAGGGGTACTACGGTTAAACTGGAAGGGAAAGTGAAATGGCTAAGTTTCAAGTATGAAAGATGTCCTGATTTCTGCTACACTTGTGGCAAAATAGGACACAGTGAAAGAAATTGCTCAGATGGAATACAACTGGGAAAAGGTCACCAGGATAACCAATTTGGACCATGGCTCAGAGCTGGGGGGGGGGGGAAATCATCACCGCAAAAAGAATCAAGAGGTCCACAACCTGCATCTATATCTCCTAGCAAGCAAAGGTGGGGATTTAAGGATGGATAGCTTATTCCAATACCAAATGGAAGGGAGTTAGTAGAGAGGAGTGTTCCAGAGATTATGAGAAACGACAATGTGAAAAATAAGAGTGGAGAACAGGCAGAATCCACCATATTAACTCAAGCCAAAGCCAAGTTGACAGACAAGGAGGAGAGTAAGGAAGCTAAAGTGGGTAAAGAAACTCAGGAACTGGAAACTTCTGCATGGAATATTCGTGGAGGTAATCTCAATGTAGTGTTGGAAAGGCCTGTGGATCATGTATTAAATGAACAGGTAACCGAGAACATGCAGGTGGAAGAACAGTCGGAGGTCTTAGAGGAAACAAACAAACTGGTAACAACTAGAAGATCTAAAACCAAAACTTTAAGAACTCCAGTGATCAAAAGGAAACTATTGGCTGATGCACAGAAATGTGGGAACTCTACGAACTCTGCTGCCAAGAGAAAATTCCACCTAGTGGATGAAGTAATGGAGGATGCAATAGTGACAGAATCAGTTGGAAAAAAGGGAAAGAGGGAAGCTGATCAAGCAAGCAGTGCAAACTTTGGAGAGGGGGAGGTGACCAGCCCAACCTGGTCACCAATGGATAAATGAAAGCACTGGTGTGGAATTGTCAAGGTGCTGGGAGCCCCTTGACAATTCCCCAGTTGAGGGAGGCTTGCAACCTCCTCTCCCCTAATTTGGTCTTTTTGTGTGAGACTAAAAATAGAAAACAATTCATGGAGAAAGTTCAAAGGAAGTTGAGATTCGAAGAGAGTGTGGTGGTGGAATCTATGAATAAATCAGGGGGCATGGCTATATTTTGGAATACTGAAGTGAAAGTTTTGGAGGTTAAAACCACTGCTTTCACCATGGAAATTCACATAATGGACACTGATCATGATGTAGACTGGTGGTTCATAGGAATTTATGATAGCACTGATGACCAAATCAGGAGACGCCAGTGGGAAGTCGTGGAGAGAAGGAAAATTTTATGGGGTTCTAGATGGGTGATTACTGGCGATTTCAATGACATCATATCAAATGAGGAGAAATGGGGGGGTAGAAAAAGGGAGGAAGGAACTTTCAAATACTTCAGGAGCTTTATTGAACAAAATGGCCTCATTGATTTAGGATATGAAGGCAATCCCTGAACTTGGAGTAATCATTGGGCTAAAGAGGGTGAGATTAAACAAAGGCTGGATAGATCATTGGCGAGTAGTGATTGGAGCCAAATTTTTGACCGAACGACAGTCAAACACATGGAAAATTTTGGCTCTGACCATAGCATGATCTTGTTAGACTCCAATCCTCTACAAATGAAGAGGAAGAGCAGGTTCCTGTTTGATAGAAGATGGCTGAAAAAAGAAGGACTGCAACAAGTAGTGAAGCAGGCATGGGAAGAGGAACAATCAGGCTCTAATATGTATAAAGTGCATAGGAAGATAGCAAAATGTAGGCTGGCCATTTTGAAATGGAGAAACAATTTTCCAGGAAATGCTAGGAAGAAAATTAAAAGCCTTAAAAAACTCTTGAGTGATCTCCAAACCTCTGATTGTGAGGACATAAGGGAAAGGAAAAAGGTTCTTAAAATGCAACTTAAGGAAGCTTATGAGGAAGAGGAGTTGTTCAATCTTCCATCTCAACCTTTTCCATCAATTTGACCAAGATGTCATTAGTCTTCTCAACGTCGTTTCCTATCAATTCTTATTTCTTAGTCTTCCTTGTGAACAACTACCAATTCCATGTGTTTAGTCAACTTAGCTTAATAATAATAAAGATTAAAAAACTCCGCTTTAACTATGAATCTGTCTAACGAGTGCATAAGAACACAATAATGCTGTAGTAATTTTCAAATAAAAATTTTAGATAAAAATTTCAAATTTTGTTTTGTTTGCATCATACACACAATTTCCAACACCTATCTCATATACATCACATCACAAAAAATACTATATTAATTTTTTCAAATAAATATTTCAAATAACTTCCTATTCAAACAAAAATATGAGTGGACCTGCAAATGTTTATTTGGGGCAATTAAGGGCACAAAGAGCATTATCTGTTATACCAAGTGCTGTAGAAATAAAAGTGTGTTAGAAAATTTTGAACGTCTTAAGCAAGATAGTAAAATTTTTTTATTCATATAATCTTAAACTCTCAAAATTTCACCATTGACTAAGGGTTATAGCACGTAGTAATTAATAGCAACTCTTGCCTTTGGCAGATGTGTAATTTTGCCTCTCATTGACATCTGCCTTAGTTTTTTAAATGAAAAGGAAGACGAGACTAGAACCTTTTGAACCTTAACTATTGGTTTTTTTTTTCCCCATCAGAGGATGGGGTGGAACGTAAGAAGCGGGGGGAAAAGGTATGAGAATTAAAATCCAAGACCTCTAATTCTTGAAATCTGAACTTGTTAGGTTAATTTTAGAGAAAATCGTTCAAAACGTCCCTTACATTTTACAAAATAACTTTTTTTGTCTCTCACTTTTAAAAGTGTAATTTTATATCCCTTATAAATTCACATCGACCAAATTTGGTCTCTACGTAGGTTTCCGACTAGTTTTTGGCCAAAATCCATCACATGATTTGCATGTGATCATTTTTTATTTTTTGAGGGTAAAATTTTCAAATCAAAATTTTCCATTATCTAATTCATTGTCTCTCACATTTCACAAAATGAATTTTTTCGTCCCTAACATTTTACAAAATGAATTGTTTCTTTCCTCACATTTCAAAAAATAAATTTTTCCATCCCTCACATTTTTTAAAATGAATTTTTTCATCCCTCATTGATCATGTGTACGAATAGCTTTTTTCTATAAACCCACTTATATGTCTATTTGATTTTACCTGAACAGTATGAATAACATGTAATTTATCTCTATTGAATTTCATCTAAATATGCTAATCGTAGCTATACACATGCTATTCAATATATATATATATAGGGGTTTAAAACTAATAATTTTGTTTGAAACTCACGTATATATTTATATGATTTCATCATTTGAACCTATTCAACATTTGTGACCTTTCTCTTTTGGTAATAATTTATTTATTGAGTTGTATAATAAGACAATCTAATTAATGGGTCCTAACTTGAATTCTATAATTGTACTAACAAATTTCAGTTTAAATCTGAAATTTCTACTCGACATTTTTAAGACCAACAGTTGAATTACTTGCCTTGTGATTGTCTTAAAATTTGAAAGTGCCAATCACGTATTTCTTTTTGTCATACTTTTCTTTTGTTTACTTTTTCTATCCAAATTTAATTCGATATAAACACTCGATAATATTTAGGATTAAATGTCATCTTTATTTTCAAATTTCGAGTAAAAGAAAATAAATATAAGTGAAAAACTAACAATTTTTTTAAACACATGTATATATCTATTTGATTTCACTTGAGCAGTACGAATAGTATGTAATATATCTCTATTTGATTTCACATGCTATTCGTACTGTTCAAGTGAAATCAAATAGATATATACATGGATTTAAGAAAAATTTTGCACACACATGATCAATAAAAGATGAAAAATTTCATTTTAAAAAATGTGAAGGATGAAAAAATTCATTTTGTGAAATGTAAGGGAAAATTTTTATTTTATGAAATGTGAGAGATTATGAATCGAATTATATAAAATTTCATTTGACAATTTTGCCCTTAAAATATGATCACATGCAAGGCACGTGATGAATTTCGACAAAAAACTAGTCGGAAATCTAAGTAGGGACCAAATTTGACCAATATGAATTTGTAACGGACGTAAAATTACATTTTTAAAAGTGAGAGACGAAAAAAGTTATTTTGCAAAATGTGAGAGACGTTTTGAACAATTCTCCCTTAATTTTAAATTCATATCAAACATAATTTGTCAATAGAGGCATACCGTTTTGCATTAGATACAAAAATTAAAATGTTCTATTTGCAGTTTAATTATCCTTTGTTTCTGCATAATTTGGTAATTGACTTGATAGATTCAAGATGTTGGCTACTTTGCTTTAACACGTTGAATTTTGTAGAAGTAAAAAATTAACCAAAAAATTATACGATATATATTTGATAAAAACTCATATATATATATATATATGGGGAGATAACTTACACACATACAAGTATGTGTAGGAGAAAGAGGAATAAATATCAACAATATATCGTTAATTATACATAATAACAAGACTCTCAAATTTCACTCTTTTCAACTAACCATAATAATAGGACTTCTTATTTATAGACTAGATAACTTGTTACACATAATAACAAGACTCTTAAATTTTACTCTTTTCAACTAATCATAATAATAGGACTCTTTATTTATAGATTAGATGACTTGGTAAACAAGTTTTACAACTGCAAGAAACTTGTTAATAAAATAAAAGTTCCTAAACACTAAAACTACTATAACTTGACTTCAACAAAATTACTAAAAACTTGATTTGACTAAAACACTACCAAATAACAATATAGAAATTTATATTTTTTTAGGCTTGATTTAGTATGCCAATATTGCTTTCCTTAAATCAAGCTCTCTATTGAATTACGTTCATTGCAATCACGAACAACAATCTCCTTTGTAAATTTTGTTAACATCAATTTGAATTCTTCATCTTCAAAGGTCTTTTTCGCTGCAATACTCCACACTCCTAGACAAATTTATCTGATCGCTCGATTTCTTTTGACTCATTAAAATAATCCATGTTTCCGGATAGACTATTCTCATCGCACAATGTGATATCAACCTATTAACAATGCACTTTGTGATTTTAATAATCACAACTCAACGGACAGGATTCTGCAATCTCTGTTTTTCCACCCATAATCAATCTGAAAATTCTCTTAAACCAATATTGTAGTCCAATCTTCACCAACTGGATACTCCATGATCAATCTTGTGGTCTAACTCAATCAACTGATTTTATCATGGCAGTCTCTTATGCTCTTAAGTCTAACAATGCAAAACACCCACGTCTAACCTCATAGCTGGGTCAATTCTTCAATGTTCATAGGCATCTCAAGATTAATTTCTTGAATCTAGGGCACTGATATCTGATATAGAACTCAAAATATTCTGAATATATATATATATATATATTTCATATAAAATTCATGTATATGGGGAGGCAATTTACACACATACAAGTATATGTGGGAGAAGAGAAATAATATCGGTAATAATATATTAATTACATGCCATAAGAACAATACTCTCAAATTTTACTCTTCTCAATTTACCATAATAATATGACTCCTTATTTATAGACTGGAAAATTTGGTAAGCAGGCCTTATAACTATAAGGAATTTTCTAATAAAATACAAATTCCTAAACACTAAAGCTACTATAGCTTGATTTCAACAAAACTAATAAAAACTTGACTTGATTAAAGCACTGCCAAATAACAATATAGAAACTTCTATTGTTTTAGACTTGATTTAATATGACAACAACTACACTCATACATCAACAGATCACAGGTCGTGCAGGATGTGTTTTGATTTTGAAAGCGTGGACCGGTGGACGAACTTGAACTTTCCAATACTTAGAAAAAAAATATTTTCCAGTACTTATTCAATCGTTGCTTGATTCCTATAAATACTCAAGGTTGTTATTTATAATATTTTGACCTGGGTCAGCATCTAAACACGCTTTCTGGCTACATTCGACTAATTTAGGCCCAAGTCATTTATCAAATGGTCAATCCAGTCGACTTGAGTCTTTCCCTTGTGGTTTTGAGACCCTACCGTACTATACTAATGAAGTACGGATTCCAACATCCGTTATTCTTGATTAATTTGGATTTCATTTTCTTCGTCAAAAAATGCCACGAGACTAGAAATGTTTAGACAATTCATAAGAATTATATTTTAGCAAATGAACTCTTTGTTAGACCAAAAAGTCGCGTCACGTATATTTTTTAATTTTGATTATACTCTTGCTTGGAAAAGTAGCAAGACAAATAGTACGAGTAGATATGTCTAAACAAAAAATAATATGAGTAGATAGAAGGGTTTAAATTTCTTCCTATTCTTCTCGTAGACTTTTCATGTGAAGAAAATAAGAGTTTGTTCTCGGTTGATTATTTTAACTAATTATAGATTCAGATTTTAGAAAATTAATTTTATTATGTTCACGATTGCTTTTGTATTCTAATTATAGATTTTTTTAATGACTAAAAAAACTAAAATTTATAATCACCCAACGAGTAGCTGATTTTATAAAATCTAAATTAACCGATAACAAGGTCCAAGTGCTGATTCTGTTCCAATAATATTTTCTTTTCCTTAATCACTTGGAGACACTAAAACCTTCTTTCTTGAGTAGTCTGCCACCATATTTATAAGTAAATTACCTTTTATCCTCCTATGATTTGATACTTTACAACATAACTCTCCTATAATTAAAAAATCTATATATGAGCCCCTTATGATTTGATTGAAGTGCTATCATTAGTTTTTCTATTTAAACTAAAGTCAATATTAAAAAGTTGAAGTCAAAAAATTTGACAAATTCACCCTTTTATTTTTCTCTTTTTTTTCCCCTTTGAGAAGAGAAGAGATGATATTGGAAAACAGGCTTTGTTTGAAAAGCAATTTTTCAAAGAAAATTTGTTATATTTTTTGAGAACACAACAAAGCTACAGTACTTGCCTGCTAAATAACAATTAATGAGGGTCCACACTAAACTATGAGCCTGCCTAAAGACTAACAAATCCCCGTAAAACACAATAAAAGTGGACTTGCATTCTTTATTTCGAGTGGATAAGGACACGAGGACCATTGCCTATATACTACGTGTTGCAAAACTAAAGGCGTGTCAGAAAAGTTTGAATGCATTATACCGGATAGTAAAATTTTTTATTCATATAATCTTAAACACTATTTTGGCCATTTAATAAGGGTTATAGCACCTAGAAATAAATGGCCACACTTGACCTTGGCAGAAATGTAATTTTGCCTCTAATTGACATCAACCTCAGTTTTTTAATGAAAAGGAAGACAAGGTAAAATCTTTGAATCACACGGTTTAAACCGTTGGTTGATTTTTATTGTTATTTTTAACAAGAAAAATGTGAGACTTAAAAAGTGGAGACGGTTCAAAAAAAGGGATTAGAACTCAAAATCTTTAGTTTCTAGAATTAGAGTAATTTTGTTGCTGAGCTAAGAACAATCATTTGACGAAGAATAGGTGGCATTTTGTAATAAACTAAAAACATTTGTCTCCTTCCCGTCGTAGAATTGCAGGGACGCAAGCAATTGTAAATGGTGCTACATGCTTTTTGAAAGAAAATGGTTGTTTTATTTATAAATTCAAGAACGTCATTTTATGTTATGTTATTTGCAAATAGAAACCTCTTCTTATTATGTGAATATTGTTGTTGTATTGTACTTTTAAAAAAAATATTATATATTTGCCCACTAAGAACTATTCCCTGCTCCGCCACTAGACAAGAGTAAATATATCTACAGCCATACATGTGTTTTGATTTTTTCATCACAAGCTTTGTGTTGCAAATTGCTACTTAATAAATATCATATTCCAGAAGTGGGGGCACTAGGACATGGGCCCTACTGTCCTCACAAAATTTTACTATTATAGCCTTAAATTTTAGTAAATTTGTACGTTTGCCCCACTAGTTTTCAAAAAGTGAATTTATTACTCTAAAATCAAATGACTAGTTTTGCAATTTGATGGAATTGAAATACTAAACAATCCAAAATCACATTCTTTTTACTCTAATCGCATATTACTATATACATACATACATACATACGTACATACATATTATGTCTGTATGTATGTGTATGTATATGTATATATGTATAAGAGTAAATACATATATATGTGTGTGTCTATATATATATACATACATACATACATACATACATATATATATAATGTAAATGTATATGTCTGTTACAGTTTATCAATACTACTTATCGTTATTGTTCATCATTACTGTTCATTGTTATTATTCATTCGTGAGTACAAAAAAATCTGTCCATCCATTTTTTGTCTTGAATCCAAGCTCTGGGAAGTTTAATTCTTGGCTGCTCAAACTTGTTTCTTGAATTCTCCTGAAGTTTCTTAAATTTCTTGATTGGATTCTTGAATTTCTTGAAACATTTCTTGGTTTTCTTGAATTCTTGACTGCAAACTAATCAAATCTTGAAGTTCTTGAAAATCTTGAAAATCCAAATTTTTTCTTGAGGTTCCCGTGGCTTACCATGTTCTTATGGTTGTTCTTGTTGCAAAGTTAAAAAAAAAAAAAAAAAAAATTCTGTCACTTCTTGAAAGAAAAAGGAACAGCCCAGCCCCACCTTGTCCTTTCCTAATCCAAATAGGATTTGCACAAATAGCCTTGTGTTCACATTTATTTTCCTAAAAGGGGTTGGATTTGGACAAAGGAAAGGTTTACAAATCCTAATTCTAGTTGGAAAATGGGGTGAATACCAAATTTGCTGTCTAACTATTTCTAAATCAGATTTGGTTTTGATCTTCCAGCTGTGTTTCGATTTTGATCCGTGCTTTCCATTTCCTAGTTCATTTTTCAGTCGAGTTTCATTCGGTTTTCAGTCAAGTCCATTGTGTCAAATTTGGTCATTTCTCAGTCCAGTTTGCTCAAAACTTTCAACCATAATTGCTTTATAACCTTGTTGGTTTTTAATTGCTGGTCAAGTTGAACTACTTTTAGATCATTTTGGGCTCATTTAAGGAAAGTAAATCAGGACCTTGAGAAATTGATAAGATAACTAGAGTGATTTGAGTGTAAACACGTAAGTTGAGTGAAACACGAGCGTGAGTAAAACATCATGTGAGTTTGTCTATTGTGAGGTGTTTTTCTCCCTATCAGTATTGTTTTGCAGGTTAAGATGTCTACCAAAGGAGGAAGTTCGAATCAATTAGATTCTGAGTTGATGGGAGACACGACGGACAGAATTCAACAGATTTTGGACAATGCTGTTGAGTCTCTCAATGCACGACTTGATCAAAAGGAGAATAAAGTTGTTAAGAAGAGAGATTCCATACAATCTAGTTCTAATGTTCAATTCACCTCTTCAAGGAAGGAGGAGAAGGTTCAATTAACTTTTTCTAGACCTAACATACAAATGAGTCATCCACGTAGGAGACCTATCTATCCCTCCAATAATGTAATCAAGTGAAAAGTTTAGAAGCTACAATCGAGATGAAATTCCCATGAAGGAATCTGTTGAGTGCATTGCCAATAAAGGAGATTCTAATTTCATCCTACCATTTATTGAGGAGGAGTTTAAGAAGGTTGACATTGAAGTGACATCACACATTGAGCATGAAATGATTGAAGCTGAACCTATACTAGCTAAGTTGTGGGCTAGTAGGAGGGGATTTGTGCGAGAATGTGAGTAATGAGGTAAAACTTGAGAGTGAGAAACAGGTAAGAACTGAGATGATTAAAAATTCAAGAGAGATAGATGAAAAGGAAAGAAAGCTCAGTTTGTGTATAAAAATAAGTGAGAGTGAGTTAGCTTTAAAAGTTGAGCAATGAGAGTTTGTACTAATGTCTAATCATCCTTATTCTGTTTTGCCTGGTGTGTTGGTTAATCTTTGGTACGTTAACGGGTTAATTGGCATGCTGATTTCTGGAGTTGCGCATCCTTGCCATCCATTTATAGAAAATTGCAGCACATTCACTGTCCTATCTACCCAAGGGAATGCAAGTTTTCCATGAAGAAAGCTTAGAGCTACATCGGTTCCATTAATTAGATACAATCAAGCTAGTGACCATTTATTGCCGTTATGTAATTTCAACGGAACTCCAAAGGCTGATTGTATTATTTTGGATGTAGGTTTCCGAGATGTCCATGTATGTTCATTGGCTAGTGCTTCAAATTTGATAAGGGAGTTTGCCATTGTAGCCTTTGAGCCTGATGTCCATGTATGTTCATGAAGACTATCAATATAAGCTTCGTGCATTACCATGCTTACATAAAGGTGATGATATCTTCCAAGTGATGTAATCAATTGATGACTATTTTGCTAGCTCTCGCATCTTGGAGCGAATTGCTATCCATGCCAAAGAGCCGAGCGTAAGTGCTAAATTGATTCTTAATCAATTAGCCATTAACAAGGTAAGTTTCTCATCTGGAGTTCTTAATTATCATGATGAAATTGGAGAGCTTAACTTGCCTATAAATGTATGGATTCTTCATAATTCTTATCTTAATGATTTGAAAGAGTGCCCTTTATGCATACTAAGAGTTGTGTTTCTTAACTTTTTGACAGATGGTAAAACCCTTGAGTTAATTGGAATTGATTTTTAAGGTTGTCTATGCACGCAATATAGATAGCCATCTTGAGTTAACAAAGTTTGATAGAGCCGCTTATTTGCTTTCTGTTGATCATTCTAGAGTCAGTTTGTGTCATTCTGTGAGTTCCAGCTATCTAATTGTGAGAGTCTTTGTTGAGTCCATATGTGTTGTTTGTTTTCCTCAAATCATGTGATCATTATGCTTTGTTTATGTTGTTTTTAAAGCTCGTGAGTTTATAGGTATTGTGTTTAAAGTCGTTTATTTGCATACTATACTTTGTTCTAGCGTACGTGTTGTCCATGCAAACTGTGTGATGCATCGACTTGATATAGTTGCTTTGGCGAATTTTCTTGTTTGGAAGCTCAAATATTACACTGATGCATATGCTAATTTTCTGAGAGGTTCAAGTGTAATTTTTGGTCATGCCAAAGGAAATGTTTGGAAGCATGGTAACTTAGGTCATGTCAAAGAGATCAGAATGATGCATGGCAATCAAAAGTTTCCTTCGTGTCATTAACTTGATGAGTGGGTTGATTACAAGTATTTAATCGTCATTCATTCTTCTTCTTTTTTCTTTGACCCAGATACCAATTTGTTATGGCCTGGAATCAGTCCAAATTGTCATGCACAATTGACTGGGATGACTCAGCAAAGGAGTAGCACCAGAAATGTGATAGCATGAAGAGTCACGAGGATAGCAACTGATATAACAGAATGAAGAGTAGTTAATTGGCGGGAAAAGTAGTTAGTACTAGCAGGCTGTGTCTTGAGCTCAAAGCTAAGAATTGTATAAGTAATTCATCTGCATTGAAGGCAGGACATGTAATACGTTGTTCCAGATTTCTTTCCTAATCAATTCAAACCTTTCTTTTCCCTCTCTTTTCCCTCTCCCTTAATTCAGATCTCATTCTCAATTCTTCCTCTCTCTTTCCCTTCCCTATCTCAGATATCTTCAATTCAATTAGTTCGAATTATTACAGTGGTATCAGAGCTTGCGATCCTTGGATTGCAAGCTTCGAACTGCTGAAGATTATGGCAGAAGGCACTAGAATGAAGAGCTTCGAAGAGCAACTCAGGAAACAAGAGGCCAGGATCCAGGCAGTCATTGATTCCTTGGTTGCTGACAAACAGGCTATGGAAGAACGGTTGGAAGGTAATCAAAGAGAGATGCGAGCTCTAATGGAAACCAATAGCACAGAGCTGAAAAGCTTCATGAGTACTCAACTCAGTTCTATTTTGAGAAGTTTGCAAGGTGATAGAGGCATTTTGGGGAATCCTACAAGCTCAGCAGAGAAAACTCCTAATAATCGAAGTGTTGGAGCACAAGGTGTTCAACAAGGTGAATTTGGTCATTCATCCAGAGGAGATGGTCAGCATTGGCCAATGGGGGTTCCCAGGTTAGATTTTCCCAGATTTGATGGCCATAGTCCCAAGGAATGGATCAGGAAGTGTGAAAAGTTCTTCCAACTGTTTCGCACTCCTGAAGAACAGCAGATTGACTTGGTGGAACTACACTTAGAAGGCAAGGCAGATCTCTGGTATCAGAATTTCAAAAAGGATCGCGGAATAGTTCATTGGAAGGATTTCAGTTTGGAAGTATGTAGGAGGTTCAGCACTGTAGGGGAAGCAGATGCGGTGGAGGAGTTCAGCAAACTCAGCCAATCATCCACTGTATTGGCTTATCAGGAAAAATTTGAAGAATTGAGGTCCATTGTAATGATTCAGGTGCCAGAACTGACTGAATCTTACTACATTTCTAGTTTCTTAAGTGGATTGAGAGGGGAAATTAAGTCTGCCGTGAAGATGCATAGGCCAGACACTCTACAAGCTGCCTTTGAGATGGCCAGATGGCAGGAGCATCATTTGGAGCTTGTTCACAAGTTCAGCAGGACCACACTCAAGAGTACATTGCACTCAGGCTCCTATGGACTTACCAAGGGAACGCAGGGAGTCCAGGACCCAGGAGCAAGGCAGTCTAGTACTTCGCCTACAGACTACAGCAAGAAGTCCAATTCACAGCAAGTTTTCAGGAAAATTTCTCCTACTGAATTCCAATATAGGAAGGAGCACAACCTATGCTTTAGGTGTGGGGACAGATTTACTCCCGGACACACTTGTAAGAGCAAGGGGGTCCACATGATGTTAATAGAAGAAGAGGAAAAAGGTGAGGCAGAACAAACAATAGAAGAAGAGGAAGTTATTGAATACATGGGAAACCAGCAGGAGCAGGATGTGATATTGACCCTGCATGCAATGACAGGGGAATTATCCTCAAGTATCATCAAAATGCAGGGGCAGTTTAAGAACAGTCAGCTGACAATCCTATTGGATGGAGGAAGTACCAATTGTTTTATCAGGAGATCAGTGGCTCAGTTGTACCCAGAAACTGTGCAGAAGCATAGGCCTTTTAAGGTCAAGATTGCTGATGGCAAAGAGCTGCACTGCGACCAATGGATTCCAGGAATGCAGTGGGACATGCAGGGCCACACATTTACACAGGATGTATTTGTCATGGACCTGGAACCTTATGATATGATCCTTGGGGTGGATTGGATGAAATCCTACAGCCCCATTACCTTTGATTTCAAGAGACTAAACCTGTCTTTTGAGAAAGGAGGAGAGCACGTGGTGTTAAAAGGAGATTCCAACAATGCAAACGTTAGAATGCAGCAAGGTTCAACAGCTCACAAATTTGTCAGACATAAGATCAGGAAGGCTCTGCAGCAATCTTGTATGGTGAAGGTTCACAACTCACAGGTAATTTCTGAACCAGATTCTCTTATTCAGTTGTTGGCCAAATATGATGATATCTTTGCTGAACCTAAAACTCTTCCCCCAAACAGATGCCATGATCACCAAATCCCCCTTAAACCAGATGCCAAACCTTTCAAAATTCCCCCATATAGGTACCCCCATGTACAGAAAAATGAAATTGACAATCAAGTGAAGGACATGCTAACCTCTGGTCTTATACAAATTAGCCACAGCCCCTTTGCATCACCTGCTCTCTTAGTTAAAAAGAAAGATGGGAGCTGGAGGCTTTGTATTGATTATAGACAACTGAACAATCTTACCATCAAAGATAAATTTCCAATCCCTATTATAGATGACTTACTGGATGAGTTACATGGAGCCAGGGTCTTCTCTAAAATTGATCTGCGATCAGGCTATCACCAAATCAGAATGAGACCTGAGGACATCCATAAAACTGCTTTTAGAACTCATTCTGGACTTTATGAATTTCTTGTAATGCCATTTGGCCTGACAAATGCCCCCGCCACCTTTCAAGCACTAATGAACTCCATTTTTGAACCTTACATCAGAAAATTTGTCCTTGTGTTCTTTGATGACATTCTGATCTATAGTCCAGATTATAAAACCCACTTACACCACTTATCCTTAGTATTAGGGACCTTGAGAAAGTACTCCTTGTTTGCAAAGATGTCTAAATGTTCTTTTGGTCAAAACCAAGTGGAGTATCTGGGACATGTTATCACTAGTGAAGGTGTGAATACTGACCCATCCAAGGTGGAGGCTATGCTGTCCTGGCCAACTCCTACTTGTTTAAAGGCCCTCAGAGGATTTTTGGGCCTAACTGGGTATTACAGGAGGTTTGTTAAGGGGTATGGAGAAATTGCTAAGCCCCTCACTGAGTTACTGAAGAAGGATCAATTTGCTTGGAGTGCTGTTGCAGAATCTGCATTTCAACAGTTGAAGCTGGTCATGAGTAAATCTCCAGTATTAGCATTACCTGACTTCTCAAAACCATTCCAATTGGAAACTGATGCTAGTCAGTTAGCTATTGGGGCTGTGCTGATGCAACAAGGGAGACCTATAGCTTACTACAGCCAAGTGTTGGGCCAGAAGAACCAGACCAGATCCACCTATGAAAAAGAACTTCTATCACTCATCACAGCAGTTCAAAAATGGAAACACTACTTGATGGGGAACCACTTTATCATAAAGACTGACCATGAAAGCCTCAAATACTTGCTGGATCAGAAAATAAACACTCCCCTTCAACAGAAGTGGCTGGTTAAACTTATGGGGATGGATTATGAGATCCAGTACAAGAGGGGTAAGGACAATGTGGTTGCTGATGCATTATCAAGAAGGGGAGAGCAGGAGGAGCCAGCAGAAACATTTGTACATGCCATCACTGCCATCAAGCCTCAATGGCTGTCAATGGTAGCTGAGAGCTACAATGGTGATGACATGGCAAAGGAGGTTCTACTGAGGCTGGCCATGGGAGCTGAAGCACTACCTGACTACTCGTATAACCAAGGGATTTTGAGATTTAAAGGAAGGATTTGGGTAGGAGCAGAGGCTGGACTAAGGCAAAAATTGATTTCCTGTTTTCATGATTCTTGTCTTGGAGGTCACTCTGGGAATCATGGTACTTATCAGAGGATCAAAAGCTACCTATACTGGCCTGGAATGAAAAAAGAGGTCGAACAGTATGTACAGAATTGTGATGTCTGCAAGAGAAGTAAAAATGAGAATTGCGCTTATCCAGGACTGTTGCAGCCATTGGCCATTCCTGAGCAAGCGTGGCAACAAATTTCCATGGATTTCATAGAAGGTTTGCCTAAATCTTTTGGTTGTAATGTCATCTATGTGGTGGTAGATAGATTTACTAAATATGCTCATTTCATCCCTATGACTTCTCATTACACTGCTAAAAGTGTAGCAGAGACATTCTTTGATAAGATCTTCAGGTTACATGGCCTACCAACACACATTGTCTCTGATAGGGATAAAGCCTTTACTAGCTTGTTCTGGCAGGAACTCTTCAAGATGCTTGGCACAGAGCTAAACCTCACTTCTGCATACCACCCTCAGTCTGATGGACAGACTGAGAGGGTTAATAGATGTGTAGAAAGCTACCTGAGGAGTGTGTGTATGTATCAACCAGGGAAGTGGAGAAAATGGCTTCCTGCAGCAGAATGGTGGTATAACACTAACCACCATAGCAGTCTACAAATGTCCCCTTTCCAGGCCTTATATGGTTACAAACCTATACAACTGAACCTGAGGCCCGATAAGACAATAGTAGCTGCTGTGGAGGATTGGGCACAGGAAAGAGTAGGCTGGAATTCCTTGCTCAAAGAGAACTTGTTTAAAGCTCAGAACAGAATGAAGCAAATGGCTGATAAAGGGAGGAGTGACAGGGAGTTTATAGTGGGAGAGTGGGCTTATTTGAAGCTCCAACCTTACAGACAAACCTCAGTAGCCGTAAGGAGGAATTTGAAACTGACTGCTAAGTACTACGGGCCCTATCAGGTGGAACAAAAGGTGGGGACTGTAGCATACAAGCTGAAGCTACCTGCAGGATCGACCGTACACCCTGTTTTTCATGTTTCATTGCTCAAAAAGTCACCAAAGGAGGCCCCAGTCAGCACTACTTTGCCTACCTTGAACGCAGATAGTGAGTTTGAGGTCACCCCCTCAGCAGTGCTGGATAAAAGGACAATCTATAGGAAGGGTCAGGAAGTTGAGCAAGTGTTGGTGCAGTGGGAAAACATGGAACCTGAGGAAGCCACTTGGGAGGATTGGACGTTCATTCATGCTCAATTTTCTTCTTTTCAAATCAATCAATCCTAGAGACTAGGATTGTTTTTAGGGGGAGGTATTGTTATGGCCTGGAATCAGTCCAAATTGTCATGCACAATTGACTGGGATGACTCAGCAAAGGAGTAGCACCAGAAATGTGATAGCATGAAGAGTCACGAGGATAGCAACTGATATAACAGAATGAAGAGTAGTTAATTGGCGGGAAAAGTAGTTAGTACTAGCAGGCTGTGTCTTGAGCTCAAAGCTAAGAATTGTATAAGTAATTCATCTGCATTGAAGGCAGGACATGTAATACGTTGTTCCAGATTTCTTTCCTAATCAATTCAAACCTTTCTTTTCCCTCTCTTTTCCCTCTCCCTTAATTCAGATCTCATTCTCAATTCTTCCTCTCTCTTTCCCTTCCCTATCTCAGATATCTTCAATTCAATTAGTTCGAATTATTACACAATTTGAGGCCGAATCTTTTCAAAGGATAAGCGAATTATAGGGGTCCAAGAATCTATAGGGACGCATTAGCTATCTTATTCATTGGAGTAGATAATAATAAGTTTTTGGACACGTATTCATGACAAATGGGACGTGAGCTAGAACGGACATGGGGCACCTGCAACTGTCCCGGACGGTTTTGACCATTTTCAATTGCGCGTAATTTTCTTTGTACATCGCGTAATTTTTTTTGCATATCGCGTAACTTTAGAGCAAATTTTTGTGGGACCCACACATGACGTGAAAATCGAGTTACAACTTGTAATTTCAGCTGCACAAATTTTTGAGGCCAGATCATGACCATTAACCATTCAAAGGCGATCATACTGATGACCGTCCTTGCCCCATTTCCAGCTAGAACATATGCGTTGGATTGTGTATGTGACCTAGCTAGTTGAGTAGGCGACATGCTTCGTGGCCTGCCTTTATACATGCAAACATTCCCCAGTGTGATTCATTGCAAGCAAGCGCTCAACTTAAAGATAAATCATTTGCAAGAGAGGAAATGATGCGAATCCGATTGCTGTCAAGGGTTCAAATGCTAGTTATTTCTACATCCTCGAGGATCCCGAGTCAAGTATTCAATCAAACCACTTGAGAGAACCGTTAAAGGTATGTAAGACCTCAATTCAAGATTTGGTACACGCTATCCTAGGACAAGTTGGAACTCACCAAGCCATTGAAGGGATTGGACATGAACAAACATCATTCAAAACCCCGATTCAAGTTGACGAAGAATCCATGGTGCAAGTTCCTTCCGATTGAAGAGCTACCTATCAAGCTTGGCGGATCAAGACTAAAGGGGCTGATTTTTTCAATTTGTTTCATTTGGTTAGAGTAGTTAGAAAGCTAGTTAATTGAGTCGTTTGTCTAGCTTTTTATGTCGTTTATCTCATTGAATAAAGTTCGGCCAGCCGTCTTAGACTGTTAGTTGGGCTGTTGGTGTAGTTAATAGACTAGTCCATTAGATGGTAGATAGAATAAGTGATGTAATTCCATAAAAAGAGGTTAACTACGGATCAACTTGACTAGTCCATTAGTAGATAGAATAAAAGCGGCGTTCAACTTGACTTATCAATTAAAAATCATATTTGATTGTGGCATTTTCTATCCAAAAACTAGGGTTCTCTTATTTCTTTAATTGTGGGTTGAAGTTGTATCAAGGTTTATAACTATGGGGGTTTGTAGGGTCTTTAGTTATTCCACAAACCAAACTTGTCCACAAAACGATCCTGCGGCTTATTTTGATGACGGGTTTCATTGGTCTCAATGAGCTTTGTATCATTAAGATTGCCTCTAATGTATATTTCGAAATCGCACCAGCAATTGATTCATATATAGACATAAATTGATGTGATATCTTCCTTTAATGTACTATAGGATACAGGATAGATTCAACCAAAATATGTCATTCTTTAACAAATTTGGTAATCTGCAACCACAGAATAAACAAATATCCTTTAGGAATGGTATGACAAGTCGACAATGCGACCAAGAAGAAATCCACAAATATTGTACAGTCTACAAAATTTTGGGTGAACCTTGGTTGCTGAATTCTGCCAAAATTCTTTGCATTTTGGTTTAATTTATTCAGTTCAATTACATAATGAGGGTTTCTGAGACAATGCAACAACACTATTACAGATAATATTTCCCATTAAAAGTTGAGGGCCTATTTCACAAGCATTAGAACTATGCATCATGTATACAGCCTGTTAATTGTGATTTGGCTGATTAATGTGTACAAAAATACGAACTCTGGATTAGAACATACTTCCTTCTTGGTATGTTCTTGACAATTTCTTTGAAGTCTTCAGCCTCACATGAAACTCTAAGTAACCCATGCTGAGCATATCCACAATCCAAGACAGAATCATCACGTAAAGAAACGAAGAAGAGTGATTGATGATCTTAACAGGAACACATATAATCTCTCCATCTCCTGCTTATCAGTTCCCACAAGTATGGGAACATAACCCTTGCGAGGGAAACTTTTGTCATCTGCATCATTGCTGCTGGACAATCTTACATAAGTTGGTGATGAGTTCATCTCCCTCCCTTTCATGCTTGTTAGCTAGATTCTTGAATGATGTTTTTCTTGTTTGAAAGCAAATCTACCTGGGGAAGAAACCTCCCAAAGTAGCAAAATTGTGATGGACTCTTTTTTTTTTGGCTTTGCCGTAACTATAATATTTCTATTACTTAATCTATTCTATTCTATAGAGAGGAGGAGTCTAAAAAGGTTGTGTTAAAGAATTAGCAGCTAATTTATTCTATTCTACGGGAAAAAGAGTCTAAAAAAAATTGTATAAAGGATTAACAGATATATAGATTTGATTAAATCAAAAGAGTACTCTAACATTTTTTTTAAATTTTTTTCAAAACAAGTGGAACCGAAACCGACCTACAATCCAAGGAGCCCCTCTTTGAGGCTATTGAGCCAAAGCTTAGTTGTTAAAAGTTGTGATGGACCAAGGATGGCTCTATGTGGCTATTGAGCTACAGAACAGCCACCTCCAACATACAAAGCACGGTGGCCCCGTGCTATAGCTGGCATATTTGACTTTTTCATGAAAAGAATTCAACTAGGCTTAAATTCCAGTTTGAAGTCGTAAACTATAGATGAACTTCCACTTTAACCCTTAAGTTTCATTTGTGGTAATTTTACTTTCTAAAGTATGAAATCCATTCCACTTCAATTCTTAAATTTTATTTTTCAACACTTTATCCCTAAACTACGAAATTATTCTCAATTGAATCCATAACCTTTAAGCACTAATTGCCTATTATTCAGTTAATTGTAATAATTATCTGAGATGAATTTCATATTTGATGAGGTAAAATGTCTAAAGCTGAAATTCAAGGACTTAAGCAGATGACTTTAGTACTTGATAGGATAAAATGCTGGAAAATGAAGTTGAAGTAAAGTGATAATGCATCTATAGTTTATGGGTCTAAAGTGGAATTTAGCCATTAAACTAAAGCTCTTGTTTTACTACTAGTCATCCTTTCGTTAACATAACTAGGTATGCAGCTGTTTGGAACCTGAGTTTTTTGGAAGTTTGTCTAAAACTTTACTGTAGTGCACTGTAGAAGTTTTTGAAAAAATTTTGTAGAAATTTTTGTAAGGTAAAAAGTTTTGTAGAAGTTTTTGTAGGGTGAAAAACTTTTTTTTTTCCTTTTTTTTTCTTTCTCTTTCTCTTTCTCTTTCTCTTTCTCTTTCTTTTTCTTTTTCTTTCTTTCCTTTTTCTTTTCTTTCCTCTCTTCTTCTTCTTCCTTCCCCCTTCCCCTTCCCCATTACCTCCGCCACCCCCAGCAGCAACTCCACCAATGCCATCTCCTGCCACCCCCTTTGCCCCTTCCCCCTCTGCCCCGTCGCCCCCTCCCCTACCCCTGCAAAAGCTTCCCCGTCACCCCTCCCTCTCCCTCTGTCTCTGCCGCCACCTGAGTTTTGCACATGAGTTTTGCAGCAACAGAAATGATTTTTTTTTCCAATGTTCTATCTCCCTCTCCTCTCCTTATCTTGCCGGCAGAATAAGCAGCAACAGCCGAGTGTAATTTTTTTTTTTTTGCAATTTTCCTTCTCCCCAAGCTGCGGGAGGGGGAAGGTGGCGGGGAAAGGCAGAGGGAAAGAGGGGAGGGGGGAGGGAGAAAGAAAAAAAAAAGAAAAAAGAGATTTTGGAAACCAACATATCGGTCAAAGGGGGAGGGGAGGGAGAGAAAAAAAAAAAAAAAAAGAGGAAGGCCGGCAAAAGTTGGCCGGAATAGTTACCGGCGCCGGAAGCGGTGGTGGAGGTGGTGGCCGGTTGGGTGGGGGAGGAAAAAGAAGAAAAGTTGAAGGAAAAGTTTTTTGTGTATTATTTTGAAGTGTGTAAGTAAAAAACTTATCAAAGTTTTTTGGATTCCTGTAGCAAAAGTTGTTAAAAAACTAGTAGCTAAAAAACTTGGCCAAAAACTTCACTTCCAAACAAGCCTTAGTTTAACCTTTTTATTATTATTATTTTACAAATGAATAGATTGTTTTATAAAAGTCTATGTACACAATCAAGTTGTGACGATCAAACAATACAGCAAATAAGAATATCGTCCGAGTTCCAAAGCATCTTTGAAGAATCAAGAAAGAAAAAGTTAGATATGTACACAAAGTCCTTGAAATAATTTACTACAGTCAAAATTTCTTATATATGTATGGGACAAATTAGAGCTCATGATGAGACTTGGAAAATCGACTCGGTGATATTAATTCCAGCCAAATTAATAAGATCCTGACCAATCCATTCATTGCGAATTGGATTTGCTTTGAGATGGAACCTAAAATTCTAGCTTCATCATGGTGCCAAAGTGGGGTCGTGATCTTGGAATTTATTCATCACCCAGTTTAGAGCTCCAACCATAATTTGACTTTTTATTTTTATTCTTTTGACAAATTTTGAGGGTACATTTCAAGGTCACGTCGGAGAAAGGAGTATTGATAAACATAATTCCCAAGGACTATTGTCAGTACAAAGTCACACGTGAGTGAAAGTATGAGAAAGCAATATCCTGGATTCACCTGCCTTTGGGCCGGTGGCCACCACCTAACTTGGTAGGGTGTATTTAAGTGATTTGTTTTAAAAAAATTTAGGTGAATGTGTTGTGCATCCGTTTGATCCGATAGTGATTCAATCCCCTCCGGGTTATCTCTGAGTCTCCTTAGGTCCGCCCCCTCCCCCTTAGTGTAGCATAGATTATGTTATACAACTGTTGTCGTCCCCGAAAAAAAAAAATTATCCTGAATTGGTTTCTCAAGAATTTCCAACAAAAGTAAAAACATCTTATGCCATCCCACCTATTTAGAATGTATTCGGATTTAAGATTATTTAGATAATGTTTTGAGAATAACACTATACCACTGTCCGCAATAAATACGTATGCGTGAAAATATAATTAATAAATGTGTTCAGCGAATAACACAATAAAAACAAATTCAAATAATGGCCTGGTGTGTATATCCAATCGGGTTAATCACACAGATCATGCATTAAAAAAGTCATAATTCATGTGGGATGTTCTGAATTAACACGCTTGCTGGTTGTATTTTACTAATTCAGGTCCAAGTCCTTTATCATAGTCAATCCAGTTAAAAAAATTGACTCTCTCTGAGCCTAATACGTACTAATAAAGTACGGATTCCAGCATCCGTTATTCTTGACTAACTTGGATTCCATTTTCTTGGTCAAAAAAAAAAAAAGGCAACGAGACTATAAATGTTTAGGCAATTGATAAGAATTATATTTTAGCAAATGAACTCTTTGCTAGGAAAAAAAATATCTTATGTTATTTAATTTTTTTTTATACTCTTGCTTGGAAGAGTAGCAAGACAAAAATAGTACGAATAGATATATCCAAACAGAAAATAATACGAGTAGGTAGAAGATTTAAGTCCTTGTTTGGAAGCTAAGTTTTTTGTCAAGTTTATCTGCTATAAGTATTTTAAAAATTTTTTAAAAAACTTTTTAGGACCCGTTTGGAATGTGAGTTTTTTGGATATTTGTCTAAAACTTTACTGTAGATTACTGTAGAAGTTGTAAGAAAAATTTTTAGGTTGAAAAAATTTTTTCTTTCTTTTTCTTTTTCTTTTTATTTCTTTCTTTTTCTTTTCTTTCCTCTCTTCTTCTTCTCTCTTCCCCCTCCCCTGGCACCTTTGTCCTCTCCTCCCTCTCCCTCTCTGTCCCTCTGCCCCTCTTTTTCTCTCCTCATCTTCTCCCTCTCCCTCTCCCTCTCTCCTTCTCCTCCCCCTCCTTGGCGCCCTCCGAGTGCCGAGAACTTGCAGGCTGCAGCCATGAACTTTTTTTTTTCTTTTTCTCTCCCCACTCTCCTCCCCCTTTCCCCCTTTCTCGCCACCCTCCCCCTCTCCCAACCAGCAACCTTGGTCGCCCAGCAGCCATAGGAAAACTTTTTTTCCTTTCTCTTCCCCTCTTCTCCCTCTCCCTCTCCTCTCCCCTCCCTCTCGCCCTTCGACGCCATAGTTGTTGCAGCCATGGATTTTTTTTTTTTTTTTTGCTTTTTCTCTCCCCCTCTCCTCCCCTCCCCCGCCACCCTCTCCCTCCCCTAGCTACGATCTGGTCACATGACCAGATCGCAACCCCCCTCCCCCTTTGCGATTTGGCTGCGTAGCTAGCGGGAGGGGGAAGGTGGCGGGGGAGGCAGAGGGGAATAGGGGAGGGGGAGGGAGAAAGAACAATAAAAAAAGAAAAAAGAGGGGAGCACCAACAGATCGGTCAAAGGAGGAGGGGAGAGGAGGAGAGGGGGTGAGGGAGAGGGAGAGAATAAAAAAAAAAAAAAAAAAAAAAAAGAGGAAGGCCGGCACTGGCGGCCGAAATAGTGACTGGCGCCGGAAGCGGTGGTGGAGGTGGTGGCCGGTGACGAAGGACGTGGAGGGTTAGGTGGGGGAGAAAAAAGAAGAAAAGTTGAAGGGAAAGTTTTTTGTGTATTATTTTGAAGTGTGTAGGTTAAAAACTTTGATAAGTTTTTTAGGGTTCCTGTAACAAAAGTTGTTAAAAAAACTAATATTATATAAACTTGCTAAAAAACCAAGGTGCCAAACAGGGTTAATTAGTTACAGTAATCTCAAAAAACTTTTCAAAAATTTTAAACTATACACTTCAAAATATTAAAAAAACACATTTCAAAATTTTTTTTTAAAATTTCTACAGTAAGTTATAGTAAAATTTTAGACAAACACTCAAAAAACTCACCTTTCAAACGGGGCGTAAGTTTCTTCCTATTGTCCTCGTAGACTTTCCATGTGAAGAAAATAAGTGCCGATTCTGTTCCAATAATAGTTTCTTTCCCTTAATCACATTTTTTTTATTAATTTTTTCTAGTAAAAAAGGAACGGGATTTAACAAGTAAAGTAGGATAAACGAATTTAAATCCAAGGCCTCGAAATCGCGTGGCTTCAACCATAGCCACTTTTTCTCGATCACTTGCAGATATTAAAATGTTTTTTCCTCCGTGGTCCCCAACCATATTTATAAAATAGAATAGAGTTAGGGCAGACCTCCCACAGCCCCCAGAAAATTGCACTAGTGTCCACATAATTTTGAAAAATTTTCAGCTTTGCGCCAACTATTTTAAGTTGTTGAGAAATTAATGGAGCACTGAAAAATCCAAAACTACAAGCCTTCTACTTTAGTCAGTTAGTTCTCTTAAAAAGCGATATAGTTTTTGATTCATTAGTTGAATGGATTGTGCGGATTTTTCAATAAAACAAACTGTACAAACTATTAATTAGCTAAGAACAATGCAAAGATGACTTCTTTGATCAACAAAGCAGAGGTGACATTTGTAATAAAAAGAAAAACTTTTCTCTCCTTCCCCTCACAGAATTGCAGGGGCACGAGCAATTGTACAAGGCGCTGCATGTTTTTTGAAAGAAAATGATTGCTTTATTTATAAATTCAAGTACGTCATTGTATGCTTTTTTATTGGGAATCGAAACTTCTACTTATTATGTGATTTTTTTTTATAGTGTAAGTGTTCGAATTTAAAATCTCTTACTTATACTCTTTCCCCTTGAACGATCTAAAATCTGTACCTTTGGCCCCACTCTATTATTCTAAAGTGAATTTATTATTCCAAAATCAAATGATGAGTTTTGTAATTTGATGGAATTGAAATACTAAACAATCCAAAATCACATTCTTTTACCTAATCGCATTACCAATCATTAGTTAAATGCTCTGGACCTTTTTTAGTAAAACAAAAAAAAATACATTTTGTTAATATAGAATTTACTAAAAGGCAAGAGTATGTTGCTTGTTCTGTTACACAATTAAAAGCGTGAATGCCCTAGAGCAGAAAACGTCTTCCATAGCCTGACTTTGAGGCGCAGGTGTGAGGGGTCATCCCCCACACTTAGGCCAAAAACACTTACCAACGAAACTTACAAAGACTAAAACTTTTTTCAGATGCACCGTCAAAAAATTAATTTTGTTCCCTGGAAAGTTTGACAAGCACTAAGGTTGCCCCTAATGTATTTTTGCAAATTGCACCTGCGATTGATTCATATATAGACATAAATAGCGATGTAATATCTTCTCTTACTGTTCTTTAGGGTACAGGATAGATTCAACCAAAATAGTTTAATTCTTTAACAAATTTAACAGACCTTGATAATCTGCAACCACAAAATAATAAGCCTTGAGGAATGGAACGACAAGTCAACAATGGGACCAAGAAGAAATGCATAACTATTGTACAGTCTACCAAATTTTATGTAAATCTTGACTGCTGAACTTTGCCAAAATTCTTTGCATTGTGTTTGAACTTATTTAGTTCAATTACATAATGAGGCTTTCTGAGACTATGCATCAACACTTTTTCTTTTTCTTTTTTTTTTCTATGAGGAGAGGGGTGTAATTTAAATAGGAAGGGTGAAGGGGGATTAGAACCCAAGACCTTATAAGTTGAGGGTCTATTTCACAAGCATCAAAACTATACATCATTGCTAATTATGATTTAGCTGATTAATGTCTACAGAAAACACGAACTCTAGAATAGAACATACTTCCTTCTTGATATGTTCTTGACAATTTCTTTGAAGTCTTCAGCACCACATGAAACTCTAAGTAACCCGTGCTGCGTATATCCAAAATCCAAGACGGAATCATCAAGTAAAGAAGCCAGAGAAGGATGATTTATCAGCTTAACAGGAATGCATAGTCTCTCCATGTCTTCATTGTCAGTTCCCACAAGTACAGGAACATAACCTTTCCTAGGAGAGCTTGTTGCCTCTGCATCATTGCTGCTGGACAATCTTACATAAGTAGGGGAAGAGCTCATTTCCCTCCCTTTCATGCTTCTTATCTAGATGCTTGAATGATGTTTTTCTTGTTTGAAAGCAAATCTACTTGGGGAAGAAAGCTCCCAAAGTAGTGAAGTTGTGATGGATAAGGATGGCTTTGTATGGCTACTGAGTTAAAGACCAGCCACCATCCAATATATAGAACATGGTGGCCATGTGCTATAGCCGGCATCTATGACTTTTTCATGAAAAGAATTATATAATGCTTAACATCCAGTTTGAAGTTTTGAACTATACACGAATTTCTACTTTAACCCTTAAACTTTAGTCATGGATATTTTACTCCCTAAAGTATAAAAATTTTTTCAATCTAGTTCTTAAATTTTATTTTTAGACACTTAACCACTAAACTAGAAATCATTCCCACTTGAGTCGTTAAACTTTAGGCATTAATTGCCTACTACTATGTTAATTTTGACAATTATGTGAGATGAATTTCATAATTTATGGGGTAAAGTGTCTAAAGTTGAATTTTAAGAACTAATTAAAGTGGATGAATTTCATACTTGATGGGATAAAATGTTGAAAAATAAGGTTAAAGGACTAAAGTGATAATGTGTCTATAATTTAAGGATCTAAAGTGGAATTTAGCAGTTAAACTATTCCTCTTGTATGCTGCTGGTCATCCTTTGGTTAGCATGACTAGGTTTGCACGACTTAGTCTAAAGTCCATTCCATTTCATCTTACAACCCTACCTAATCATTCCCCCTTCGATGAATCGACAAGAAAAAAAATTGGCTATGTACACCAAGTTCTTATATCTTTGCTTTGAGACTTGGAAAATCAACTCAGTGATCTTATATCTTTGCTAGTTTCAAGAAACAATTATGTGAGATCGGTTTTGGAAGGACTAATTCCAACTAAAGTAATGATCCAGAGCAATCCATTGATTGCCAATTGAATTTGCTTCTGAGATGGAACTTACCTACAACTTTTCTGAAACTATCTACATTTCAAAGTCGCGTCTGAAAAGAAGCAGTAATAAACACAATTCTCAAGTACTATTATCAATACAAAGTCACGTGTAAGTGAGAGTATGAGAATACAAAGTGTCCTGCACTGATTTCTCAAGAATTTAAAACAAAATCCAATAATATTTTGTTATGTCATTCCACTTATTTACAGTTTATTTGGATTTAAGATTATTCGGATAATCCTTTTGAACATAGCACTGTAGCACTATCTGCAATAACATGTACGTTTAAAAAATTGTGGTTAAAAAATGTGTTCAAGAAATTACACAAAAAAAATCCAAATAATGATGTACATGTCCAATCTGATTTTTGTTCATAATTTGATATTGATTTGGCTGATTGAATGTGCAGTTTGATGAGTTTAATCACACAGTTCATGGATTAAAAATCCATAAAACTCCTCAGATGTTTTGAATTAACAACCAACCATGTCTTAATCAATTGGCTCTTCAACTGACAACCCCACAATCTATTTTGACTTTCACACTTTGATCTCTTGATTCTTTTTTTTTTTTTTTCTTGATCTCTTGATTCGCACTACTAAAATTTGAATAATTTGCATAGTACAAATGAGAGTACAATTTCTAGCAGCCATAGCCTTGTTTGGCATATAGATTTTTTGCCAAGTTTGATTGCTACAAACTTTTTAAAAACTTTAACTATAGTAACCTAAAAAAATGTTGGGGTACCTATCATTTCTTCCTTTTCAACGATGACTCATTCCTGCGTGGGTATGAGTATGACCTTTTCTTATAATACTGGGAAGGATACAAATTCAAACTCAATTATTGATCCATTAATAAAGCAATTGGCTAAAACGCAGAATTCAAGAAGTTAGGCCTTGTTCGGAAATGAAAAATTGCTACGTTTTCTGTGAATAAATTTCTTAATCACTTTTTTACTTCACATATATCAAATCGCTACAGTAATTTTTTTACAAAAAAAATTCAGAAAAATGCAATCCAAACGTGACCTTAGTTTTCGAACCTTTGCTTTTCAGCCTTGATTTCTTCAATCTATTGTTGTATCTTAGGTTTGTATCCCGTGTGGTTTATTACCAATCAAAATTTTTTTGCAAAAAAACTTTGGCAAAATTATCAGTGATTTTCCTACGATCCACAATTCCACATATAGGACTCAACTCTCTGTGTCCAGTTTAAATAAGCACCAATTCAACTTTCTTTTTCTTTTTTTTCCCCTCATTTAATGTGGTGGTATTAATTTGTAACTTCATCATAGACTTGTACCCAGAAACCAAAATAAATAAATACAAAGAAAACCACTTCAAAAACCGCTACATGAAACCTTGTTCCCAAAACTTTTGTTTCACATTAAACTTGTTCACATATTCAGCCAATTCAAGGTACAGAGAATTCCAAATGATGTCGTCCAGTCCGTTGATGCCAGTAATTCAATGCCCGTAGGTAGAACTTTTTTTTTTTTTGGGGTATTTTGAACATAATAACAAGAAAGGAGAAATGCAGTCTTTTTTTTTTCTTTAGTTTCGAGCCCTAATGTTCGGCAAAAGTACCAAATTGATCTCCAATGTTTTGATCAAAATAAATATGCCACTTAGAGTTTCTAATTTTAGGCAAAGGAGTAAAATTATTGAATATTCAATAGTCCCAAATGGTACACACTTGGGACGTAGATAAACATAAAGATCATAAAATGATGCATAAAGATGATTAATCTTTATGATTGGCGTAGGATTCCAAGTGGTACACACTTGGGACGTAGATAGTATGTTCCAACGTGCCAAAAAAAAAAATCATAGAAAAGGATTGTGGGAAAGAGACCATCATATAATTGTGCATTTTCTTTCTTTAGATTTGTGGTGCTGAATTAATCTGCATGGAGGACCTAGTAAGAAGAAATGTTCCAGAGATAATGCCTGGTAGAAAGGAGCACAAAATTATATTCTGGGAATCTAACTTCCGTATCGTCGTTTGGAATTTTTTCCTCTAGAGGGAAAGGAGATATTTTGAAAACTATGCTATAAAATCGTAACAAAATCCACTGATGTTTCCCTGTCCATATTGCTTCGAATCTCAGCCCACTCTTCTCAACTACAACGGGTGAAATGGAGACAAAATCAATGAATGCCACGGCGGAGCAACTAGTTGATGAAACCTACATGTTCACCCGGTTGCAAGCTTGTGGGCTTCAAGAACTTCATCAGAACTGAACCCAAATCCTTTTTTTTCACCATGAAGCGCTTCCACCACGTAGAATTAGTGCGGCAGCGCCGCCAACACTTTGCCGCCGCTGCTGATTAGTCTGTTACAAACTAGACAGACTCTAAAATAGCACACACTTCCTTCTTGATATAGACTTGACCATTTCTTTAAAATCTTCAGCATCACATGAAACTCTAAGTAATCCATGCTGAGAATATCCACAATCCAAGACAGAATCATCAAGTAAAGAAACCAAAGAAGGGTGATTGATAAGCTTAACAGGAACACATAATCTCTCCATCTTCTCATTATCAGTTCCCACAAGTATGGGAACGTAACCTTTGCGAGGAGAACCTGTGGCCTCTCCATCATTGCTGCTGGACAATCTAACGTAAGTAGGGGAAGTGCTCATCTCCCTCCCTTTCATGCTTTCTAGCTAGATGTTTGACCACCGTTTTTTCTTATCTAGAGAGCAAAATCTACTTAGGGAACAAAGCTCCCAAAGTAGTAAAATTGTTATGTACCGATACTAGCTTTCTCTGGCCATTGGAAGAACATTCTCCAATTTATATTCAATGGTGGCACTGTGGTATTGTTGGCATCTATGACTTTTTCATGAAAAGAATTAGTAAACTATTGCTCTTTTTTCACTGCTGGTCATCCTTTCGTTAGCTTGACTTGGTATCAACAACTTAATTTAAGCTTGTTTTTGCAAATGAATATAAAGATTGGTTGATGTTATCTATTGGTTTACAATCAAGTTGTGTACACAAAACGTGTTCAGAGTTCAGACAATAATGCCATTTCCTTCGATGATGACTTGGCAGATTGAACATGCACTTTCATTTCATTTGATGAGATTAATCATACAGATCATGCATTAAGGAAAACCATAAGTCAAGCTGGAGGTTCTGAATTAAAAACCATTTCTAGATCAACTGACTCTTCAATTTTTATTGGTCTCAATGCTAATCTATTTTGTGTCTTTCGCACTTCGTTCTCTCGGTTCTCACTGCTTGGCATGTCAAAACTTGGATAACTGTTCCCAACATCCAATTTAATTAATAGAGAGATTAGTCAAACAATTGTAAAATTTTTTATTTGACACTTAAAGCTTTTCCCTTTTCCATGCTCTTTCTAGGATTTGGAGTCTTCTTTTTAGGTCCAAAAAAGCAGTAAAGTATGTTCAGCTAAAGTTTGAAATTTGTATAGTACAGATGGGAACGCAATTTTTAGCAGCCAGTGGTCCACTGCGTCCCGAGTGCTCTTTGACTGACCATGAAACGCTGGGGTGCGTATCATTTCTTCCTCTGAAAAAAGATGACTCGTTCTGGGTGGGTGGGCTCGGACCTTTGCTTGTAGCACTGGGAAAGAGACATGCAAACTCAATTATTGATCCATTAGTAGAAGAATTGGCAGAAAAGCAGCATTCTAGAACTTAATATTTTTAACCTTTTACTTTGCAGCCTTTTTGACTTAAGTACTAAAAATAATTTACTAAGTCAAATATAATACTCGTATTGGACATGTCAGACCTCACTAAACTTGGAAAATTGACCCGGTGATGGTATATCTTGTCAACAAAAAGTTACATGTGACCGAGAGTATTAAAACACAAAATATTCCAAATTGGTCTCTTAAGAATATCAACAAAATTAAATCATATTTTATGCCATTCCGCTTATTTACAATCCTGGTTCTGTATCACTAGTGTCTAATATGTGGTTCTCGTGCACCTTTCCCCTGGTGTCCCAATGCCTGATTTGAAAAATTAAATAAAAACTGCCTGATCTAAAAAATTAAGAAAATACAGCAATACTCTCAAGATTTAATTTCTG